ACACACTCACGCAACGACCTCAAACACACAAACAAACACACACACACACACTCACGCAACGACGCAACGACCTCACACACACTCACGCAACGAACTCAAACACACACACACACTCACACACTCACGCAACGACCTCAAACACACAAACACACACACACACACACACTCACGCAACGACATCAAACACACAAACACACACACACACACACACTCACGCAACGACCTCAAACACACACACACACACACACACTCACGCAACGACCTCAAACACACACACACACACACACACTCACGCAACGACCTCAAACACACACACACACACACACACTCACGCAACGACCTCAAACACACACACACACACACACACTCACGCAACGACCTCAAACACACACACACACACACACACTCACGCAACGACCTCAAACACACACACACACACTCACGCAACGAACTCAAACACACACACACACACTCACACACTCACGCAACGACCTCAAACACACAAACACACACACACACCCACTCACACACTCTCACTCAGACACACTCTCTCTCTCTCACACACACACACACTCTTCAGCAGCAGCTGTCAGCACACTGACACACACACTCTCACTCACACACACTGACACACACTCTTCAGCAGCAGCGGTCAGCACACACACACTGACACACTCTTCAGCAGCAGTGGTCGGCACAAACACACACACACACTCTTCAGCAACAGTGGTCAGCGCACACACGCAACGACCTCAAACACACACACTCACACACGGTTTAGAGACGGAAAATGTTCAGAATAGCATAAAATGACTGTATTTCTGCAGTATATAGTATGCAAACTGGGAATAGTATGCAAATACAGTACTATATTTGGTCAAATGTGTCGTTCATAATCAGGAGACATTGCACTGTATCCCACAATGCAATGTGCCAATCTCTGCCTTCTTCCAGAGTGAAGAATGAACTAGAAACTTTTTTTTTTATAAATACATTTTAAAAATATATTTATAAATTTTATTTCAGTTTCAGTTTAGTACACCAAGTTAAACTAATTGAAAATGAGAAATGTTGCCTTAACAACTAGCTGAAACTAAATAAGTTTTCATTTAATTTTTTTTAATTATTTTAATATTACAAGTTTAAGTTTTTTTAATATTTCATTTCAGTTAAAAGTATTTTATTTCAAGTATCAAATGTTTTTATGTTTATAGTTTATTTACCTAGTCATTTAGTTAACTGTTCAAAAGTTTGAGGATTTTGAATGAAGTCTCTTCTGCTCCAAGACTGCATTTACTTGATCAGAAATACAGTAAAAACTGTACAATTATGAAATATTACTTCAGACGCGGGTCAAAGGTCCCATGTGCTTACACCTGTTCAGATACGAGTGACTGACAGCTCTTCAGTGACCTCTGACCCCTGCCTCACCTCCGTCAGAGTCTAACACTTGAGCTGTCAAACATAAAAAATGACCAGAAAAAGCAGCATAAAACCCTCCAGGCTCCTTCATGACCCCATACAGGAGGATTTGACTGGATTATTAATGACTAACGAGTCTGTGAAGAGACACGCACGTAACAGGAAGTTGAAATGAGGACAGAAGAATGAAAGAAGAAACACAGGAAGCACACATGCAAAACACTCAGCAAACCAGAAGAGGACGGGAATATTTGTGTGCAATGAAAGCCACACATACATAGATATATTACATTCACATGAAAGATGCTCAGAATATAAACATCTTACAATAGAGTTCACAAATGGCTATATTCATACTCGACCAGCTGTTCCAGAGAAACTGACGGCTGGAGATACTAATAAAACCGTCATGCAACTGCCCATCAGAGTAAAGCGGCAAAACAAAACGCTGGGAAAAAACAAAACCATTAAATGTTCAGATTTTGAAATCAATATCTCTGAAAAGTTTGCATACTTTAGTGAAATCAAAATACACTTGTTCATTCACATGCTTAATGCAAAATATATGCAAAATATCAAGCATATTTGCCAGTTCCAGACACATGATCTGAATACTATATCTTATTTGTTGATGAATGATTAAAAAAGACAAGGAACATAATAAAAAATGCTGAACGGCTATTTTTTTCTCCTGATAGGATTTATGAAACACATTTTTCATGACTGAGATTAAATGTAAAGCACTGAGCACTTTAATTTGTGTTATTTTAGTATCACTGATATACTAGTATAGTTTTTGTTAATATTTTGTATTTATGCTGTATTTTTGTAATTTGTATTAGTTGGGGTTTTTAGTTTGCATTACAAAATACACCACTTATCTAAACCACTACCACAAACAAATGCACTTTCAAAATAATACAAACAAACACACACATAAATAAATAAATACATAAATAAAATAAAAATACTTTTTTTTTTTTTATAAAAATTAAATTAAATATATAAAGTTTTTAGAAATGTTGCTGTATTTTTGTCATTTGTATTAGTTGGGTTTTTTTGCAAAATATACCACTTAAAATAAATAAAATAAAATAAATAAAAAAATAAAATAAATTTTTTAAAAAACAAAAGTATTTCTGCTGTTAAATTTTTTTAAATAAGGCATTTACTTTGAAATAAAATAAAAAGTAATTAATTAATTAATTAATTAATTCTGCTATTTGTAAAAATAAAAATAAGGCACTTAGTATGACATAAAATACAAAATAAATAAATAAATTCAGCTGTTAATCAAATTAAAATAAGGCACTTAAAATAAAAACTATATCAAAAACTACAAAAATAAATCATGCTGTTTATAAAATAGAAATAAGGCCCTTGCAATAAAAACTATAACAGAAAAGCTAACTAAACGAATGAATAAACTGTGCAGTGCTGCTTGTGTTTGAGCCTGATAAGATGATGGACTGAGCTGGTTTATCTGAGAGCGCAGACAGACTCCAGATCAGCCTGAAGGGTCTGGAGCTCCAGAAGCCCCGCAGGCTCTTATTAAAGCTGCACGCCGTCCCCGCTGAGCCAAAACTACAGGCCACACAACGGGAATTAGCATGTCATGCATATTCATAGCTCACACACACACGCCGTCTCCTGATTGGCCGAGCCGAATGGAACCTCGCCCAGATGAAAGAAACCAATCCAAACGATGAGAGAGCCGTCGGCGAACGCCCTCGCTATTTCCATCTCTCTGACAGCGTGACGCCAGTGCTCTTCAGCAGCACCGCGCGCACACAGAAGTGGGAGACATTAGCGTGTTTATTAGAAGAGGTGAGGTTTGCAGAGATCAGACGGTCAGAGGTCAGATAACTAGCTTCTGCCTCATCCTCGTTTCTCTCAAGTGACCCATTTTCTGCTCTCTTCATAACGGCCCGCCTCCTTCATGCTAGTCTGTGGACGTCTGATCATCTCAACTTCAGCCTAATGAACACTGACTGAAAACAAATCTGTCATTTATTACACAGATCATTAAATGAAAGCCTTCACGTGCTTCTAATTGACCTATATTTGCATTTTGCAGCAGTAAGAGTTTCATGTTTTCTGTTGTTTCTTCGTCACATTAAAATGACAGCTATATATTGTTAAATAGATGCACAAAATCAAACAGTTTATTATGTAAATCTATGCATGTTATGAAATCGCTGTCAGAGTTTTGAATGCTAATTCTATTAAGTTGGAACATTTCACATTTTAAACGTATTTTTTTCTCAAAGTATAACTTTTATATTTTAAAAGAGAAAAAGCAAAAAAAAATGTACAAAATAATGTCTGAATTAGTGTTGCATGTTTTGGGGGGCAAAGAAAAAAATGAATTGAACTTGAATTGTGATTTGTTTTAATGAAATTTGTGATTGGCTGTGATTTAATAAATAAAACTAAATACATTATTGTTATTATTA